AACTCTGCCAGTGACAATATCATAAGATGTGTCACTTCAGATTTACTTTACTGATCTAGTTTCTGTAGTTATTACTGAGGTAATGTGCAATCTTCAATTTGTTGTGCATTGGTTTGTATTTCTTGTTGTTTCTATGATAAAACATAGTAAAACTATTGATCACCTTGCCCATCATTTATGAACTAAACTGTGATTTATGATAAAATTTATGTAATAATGGTTACAAAATCAATAAAATAATTTAGTAGAGAGTCAAAAGTATAACATCATACCCCATTTTAAAGTCACGATTTAGTACTTGCTATAAATTTTAAAAAACAAGCCATGCATGGCACAGTCCCCGTTAGTTATCAAATTTAAGATACAGTATATAGTTTTGTTTATAGTAATATAGCTGGAATATAACCATGTCAGGAACATGATTTTTAACATTAAAATGATTGACATTTGTATCTGATCGTCAAAAAAGTACTTGTTCATATTGAGAGATATTGCTCTGGAACAGCATTCAAAATCAGCCATTTTGAATACATGTTTATCTATGATATGATGAATAATGAATATTTAAAATTTGAATATAATCAGTCAAACAAGTCGAAGATATGGGTCTAGAAGCCCATTCATTAAAACAAAATGGCTGCCAGACAGCCATTTTGAATCCAATCTGAAAAATAAATGATGTGCACCAGGAACCTGTAATGATTAATATATGTACCAAGTTTGAATGAAATCCATCCATAAATGCTTGATATTTGATGATTTTTTAGCACAAAAATGGCCACCATTTGGCCATTTTGAATAGGATAGTCAAACCAATATATCTGTCCATCTATGACATGATGTATTTAAAATTTGAACATAATCAGTGAAAGCAAGTCAGAGATATGGCATGAGAACCACATTCACAGCCATTTTTAATCTTATCTGAAAAACAAAATTATTTGCATCAAGGCCCCATAATGTCTAATGTATATACCAAGTTTGAACAAAATCCATCAGTAAACAGCCGCGAAATGCTTGATTTTGATGATTTTTAGCACAAACATGGCCGCCATTCGTCCGAACGGGAACTAATTAAATAGCCACTATTAGATTGTCTTGAATCGGATCATCAAATGAATATACATACATACATATGACACAATATGATGTATGTGTGAAGTTTGAACATAATCAAGTCGGACATATAGGTACAAATGTACAGCCATAAAGCCGTTCTCATTTTTGGATTTTGGATTGTAAAATGGTATTTTACAAAAACAATGAGGTCATAAGTAATGTCTATGAAATTAATGAATCTTTAAGGATGTAGTAGACATAACAAGTATGTTATAGTTAGGCTTGATATTTTCATATAAGAATTGTCCTGAACTATAGTAAACCATATATTTTATGAAACCTCTTATCTCACACTTTCTGAAATTCTGGGTAATTTTGGATAGAACTTAATGGTTATCACGTGACTGCT